ATATTAATAAGGCACAAATAATCCAAATATCCAAGTGAGATATATCCTAGTCACAGTATCTCAGGAAAGGTGGTGAGTCAGGTACACTTCCACCCTAACCAAGAGCCAGGACTGGAGCTTAGACAGGGTCATGTCAAACAGTGGGAAACTTGATTAAGTCGCTCAAAGAACAACACTGATAATGACACCTTGATATAAAATTCCAGAAAGTTATTTTACAAATAACCTTGCCATGATGTAAAAAGTTTTTAAAGAAAAAACTATATGCTGTAGTTCACATTAAGTAAGTTTTGGGAGGTTGTTTGTTTTTTGTTTTTGTTTTTGTTTGAGACAGGATTTCTCCACATAGCACAGGCTGGTCTCGGACTCACAGCAGTCCTCCTCCCTCAGCGACCTAAGTACTAGGACTACTACTACTATTTAAGCCACCACAACTGGCTTAAATAAGATCTTTAGCTGTTTAAACACTATCAGCTCCTTAATTACCCAAAACAGTTTGCCTTAGATGGTTAGCCACATTGCCTAAAGAAAAAGAAAAGCAAGGTGCTAAACCCAACTATGTGTTTTCAGTTTAAGAAGCTCTAAAATGCTATGTATTAAACAATAAAAGTCCAAAAGCTTTTACAACTTCTAGGTCACTCACTAGTTTCTATCATGCAAAAATGTCATTTTAGGGGCCAGGGACTTAGCTCAGTGAGGCCACCACCCGCCTCAAAAGCGCGAGGTCCAGAGTTTCAATCCCCAGTACCAAAAAAAAAAAAAAAAGTTATTTTAGAACATCCTAATAAACTGAGTATCGCGGTGCATATGCCTGTAATCCCAGCACTCAGGGGCCTTTGGATTGCCTCAGAAGGCAGGGGGATTGTCACTTGTTCCAGGCCAGCCTCGGCTACATAGTGGGGGAAAAATTCTAATAAATGAAATGTACCAGTAAAGCCTCAACACTAGCCCTTTCCTAATTTGTGAATTAGAATTTACACCCAACAAAGACAATGAATGCACAAAATAAGCTTGCCTATCGCACTTGTACTTTACCCATGGGAAAGGTGGTTGGTTCACTTGTAGGCTACAGAAAAGACTCAGATTTCCAGATGGACCTCTTAAAAATCTTTTACTTCAACTACTTACTGAGCGTATTTCCCAGTGTTTTACTGAGCATATATCCCAGTGCTTAAACGTATCTTCACTTTAAATACTTCTTATAATCAATGGCATGTCATGACTTAATTGTGACCCCCCCCGTAGGAGTATATACAGTAGTCATAGGCTTGATTAAATATGTCAATTCCCTACACTCTGCCCCTTGAAAATACTTCCAATTCAATCCACTCTAGTTGTTAAAAGTTTTTTATTTTAAGTACTATGCTAAAGAGCATAAAAGACCTTGATATAAAAGTTAATTCACCTTTGGCTCAAATTTATCAAACTGATCAAGAGTGTCTTTTTTAATTTATTTATTCATTTGGTACCGGGGACGGAACTCGGGACCTTGCGCTTGTGAGGCAGGCGGGGGAACCACTGAGCTAAATCCCCGGCCCATCCAGAGTGCCTTTAAAACTCCAAGTCCAGTATATAAATACCAGCGGGGGAGGGATACACGACTGTATCTTAAATACTCCTAAGACGTTAATTTGGAAAGTGAATGTTGAACTTTGTGATGTCACTTCGTTTTGTGAAAATACTTTTTCAAATGCACCGCGCATTTTCAAAGCATGTAAATTAGGTTGGGTCCTTCTAATATTACATTCCATTCACCTACCAGGATAAACACGAATCTTTGCAATGATCTATACGGTTTAAAATTAGCGAAGATAAATGCTCAGCAACTCCTGTAGTACGCACAAAAGAGTCTCATACAGAGTTACATTAGTTTCTAAGGTCAGGGACTAAAGGTTTGAATGTCTTGCAGAACTTTACAATGCAAGAGCCCCAGCTAACACTCTGAGCATCACCATATGCTTCAGTTTGAATGTACCTGCCACCTCTAACAATCCACACTATAATCTTTACTCATCTGTTCAACAAATACTTTTTAAATGATTACGGGGTACTAAGCAACTGCTAACAGAGAGTACCAGTAAGATGTGACACGTGGGCGGCACTTAGTTCTGAGTACTAAAATCCTGCCTGATAAGCCACTCGTCCTACCTGACGAAGAACACGGATCTCTACCGGGAGGACAGAACGCTACACACCGGAACGAAATGTAACCAAGCCGTTTCCTAAAGCTAGGCCAGCGTACGGGAGGCATCCCTTACGCAAGGTAATCGCAACTCACAACTGTGTACTTTTCCCACAAAATCGACTTTGTGAGTGTCTTAAAGAACTAGACCGATGAGAGTTTCAATACAGATTCGTCCCGTTCTGCAGCGGCCCGGGAAGAGGCAACACCAGAAAGAAAACGCGGGGCGACGGCGGAGAGAAGCGCGAGGCGGGCCCACGCTCCGCACGTCCCGGCCGCAACTTC